CATCATAGCAGGGTTTTCCTACATGGGTTCGGGTTGGTCAGACGTTGTCCCCATGCTTGCCCAGCAAGCACTGTGCCAAGAATTTTCTCCCCAGCTCTGAGAGACTTAGCTTTTGATCTTCCAGTTTTAAGGAGGTCTGCTTTGATTGCATCTTAAACCTTCCCCAACATCCTTGTCCTCTGGCCTCAGAGTATTTAAAAGCAATGCCCTGTCTCCTTATCAGTGTGCAATCGGCAACAAAAATGTTTCATAGGAAAAGAAGCCAGGTGCGGAGACACAGCCCCAAGTGACTTCATCCCTCCATGGGATGAGCTGGTTCCTGTGACTCAGCCTGAACAAAGCAACCCTGGCTCCTGGGGGGGGGGGGAATAAATTAGGCTTCAGGACACCTGCCTCGCCCAGAGAGACTGCAACACCATGCAGTTCACAGCAACACCCTGCCACACAGCTTCAGAGGCCTGTAGGCCAGTCAGGGTTCATTCCAGGCCACGGTTCTAAATCCAGGTGGCAATTGCTAGTGGTGACCTACATGGGTATATACTCAATCTTTATACACCCTGTTGCATCGCTGGCCTTGTTCTGCCTATTACATGAGTGAGAAAACCAAGGCTTAGCAAGGGCAGTCAACTTCCTCAAGACCAAAGTGCTCTGTGGTACCACAGCTACCACCAAACCTCATTCCTGCATCACCGGGTCCTTCCCGGCTTGGGCTCCCCATCCCAGGACGGCTAGCCTTTCCTGTGGTCAGGAGACCACCGAGAAAAGCGCTGTGTTGATCCCTCTACAGCAATACCAACTTATATTCCAGATGGTATAATAAAGTCAAATGTCCCGCTACGAGGTACATTTTGGGTGTCCCATGGACAGATCTAATGGACTGTTTCTTCACAGAGAACACATTTTCAGTCCTAGCAAACAAACACGTGATGTTCATTAGAAAGCCAGCCCTGGCCTGAGAACGGAGAATTGAAAGACTTTTGTTTTGTTTTGCTTTCTCTGGGTTTGTTGTCGTCGTTGTTGTTGTATTTTATTTTACCTGGAATGCATAGAGGATGCTAGTACAAGCATAGTACAGAGTCAGCTACTCAAAGAAAACCAAAAAGTCAATATTAAAAAAAAGGATCAGATGAAATTCACCTTTCTCAGTAGGAACCCCTCTTCCAACCATTTTTAGTCTTCTTCTAAAATACATAGCCCCTCCCCCAGCTCAGCTCGTCTAGTTCCTCTGAGGGAGCAGTAAGAGGTCTCAGCAGGTTCAGGTGCTTCTGCCAAGTCTGAAGACTTGAGTTCAGTCCCTGGGACCACAGGAGGGAGAGAAGTGGGCCATGGTGTGTGCATGTGTGCACACACAGGTGCTGTTTGCTTGTTTCTTGGGCTCAAGACCCTGTCATTGAAGAAAGAAGATAAAAACCCATCTGATATGTTAAAGAAGAGCAGGTTACGTGGCCCATGTTCTTTTAGGTATCAATTTTCTGTGCTCTAAACCTGAACGGGACAGGACAAATTCTAGGGACAGCTGCTGCAAGGAGTGTGCTGCTGTACGGAGGTGTGCAGACAAGAACACTGGAAACGAGTGGCCAGCTTGCACATGCATGTACACCATTGCATCCACAGGTACAGGGGCACACACATATCCACACATGCACACGTGTTTACAGGCCCCTTAGTAGTCTTGATGCTCCACCGTTTCCTTAAGATTGCATTTCAGTCTCCAGTCAGGACCCAAGCATTTCCAAGAAGGAACGGAAAAGCTGGCTGGTACAAAAAGGAGCTAACGCAACCTCAGTGAGAGACTAAGCTGGGGAGTGTATCTAATAATTGCCTGGGTTCAGCGTTTCTCCGCGATAAATGAGTAAACTTTAAATGGATCTCTGAGATGTGCTATCACAGACATTGCCGTGGGCGAGTTTTATCCACCGATGAAACAGCGAGGCCCAGCCAGATAAGATGATAGAGAAGGTACTATCGGGCGGCAGCCTGGTAATTACAACTCTCTATTTGGGCTCTGTAGTGATGCTGCATGTGATAAGCAGAGAATAATGAAGAAACGGAGTGGCGATAATGCAGAAGCTAAACGGTGGAAAATAGCCTATCATAGCCCACAGCCCTCTGAGCGCCTACGGGGACTTTGAACTATCTTCTCCAGTTCTCATCCAAAGGGGAAAAAAATACTTTCTCTTTCTTCTTCCTCCGCTAAATTTATGTCTGGCAGGACAAAAGAAAACAGAGAAAGCAATCAAGGGTGTGTGAAGAGAATTTGACCTTTGCAAACAGCTCTGAAGGTCACAGTGTAATTATTCTAAAATAATCCTATCCTGTAATCTTGTCCGCACTCATAAAAGATACAAGAACTCTTCCTCAGTGTGATTTGACACAGTTTTGTTGGGGATCATGGTTAATAAAAGGTCAAGTAAAGTCTTTCTAATTATAGCCCTTCAAAGAAGGCCGGGGTGGAGGAGTGCTCCAGCCGTCAGTGCTATCCAGCCAGACCTTGATGAAGGCAGAAGACAGGCCAAGAGACTGTCCATCCCCAGGAGGAGCACAGAGTCCTGTGGCTGGGGCTTTAGGTCCGGAGTCTTAGAACAAGGTAATGCGGGCAGCACTTGGCGTGTTTTACCCCGGGTCTTCAGTCATTTAATGCAGTGCCGGTCCGACCTTTCACATGGGACCGAGTGTAACTCCATCTTGTTTGTTTGTTATACTTGAAATCATCCTGAACTTCACAATGAACGGAATCAAAGGGGAAAACGTGTGTGTGTGTGTGTGTGTGTGTGTGTGTGTGTGTGTGTGTGTATTTGTGCGAGCGTATGGCAGTCTTTCTGAAAGTGTCCTGCATCACTTAGCACTTGTCCTCAAGGCTCTCCGTGTCACAGATGGGTCAGACCTTAGTGAAAAGTTCTTCCAGGGTAAACAGTCAAGTGACATTGCATTCCAATGCCATCTTGACCACAGGACTCACCAGGATGAGAGATGGAAATAATCCTCATGCTAAAGGCACCTTAAAACTTGCGGCATTCAGATTAAAACATTAGAGTTACTGAAGTAATTTTTGAGATGAAATCCACACCCCATAAAATTCACATTTCAGGGAATACTACTCAGGACTTGTTAGTTTATTTCCAATGTCATGCAATTGTAACCAGATTAAACTGAAGACTAGTCAGTCACCCTGCAATGACACCCCAGCCCCATCAACAGTCATTCCTATTCCCTGCCCATTCCCAACCCCTTGAGAGCTTGGCACTTGCTAATCTACTTTCTATTCAATGAATTAACCTATTCTGAACATTTTCTTTAAAGGGAATCACACGTAGCTTGGGAGTTTGACTTCTTTCACCTAGCGTGCTTTCAAGGTCTGGGCTAGGTTACAGAGCATACTGTCACTTTGTTACATTTAAGGGATAAGCAATATTTCATTATGGACACATAGCACATGTGTACGCCTTCATCAGATGATTGACCCTTTGGGTTCTCATGGTCTTGCTATGATGCATGAAGCTGTCCTGAGCATTTATTTCTCTGTGTGCCATTAGGACCAGACTTAGCGGTAGAATAGCTGGTTGTTGGGGGTCTCTCTCTAGCACACTTTCAGCATTGCTGATCATCTGAGAATGCCATGTACACTTTTTTTGAGGAAAATTCTCAAACTCTTTTCTGACCCTTCCCAACAGGAATGTTTAGGACCCCAATTCTCTACGTCATCACCCACAGTCTGAGTTCAAACCCTGACTCTACAACTTCTTAGGCAATCTTTTTAATTCCCTAGGTCATAGTTTCCTCATCTGTGAGGTGTGGAGATAAAAGCAGCAATTACTTCACCAAACTGTTGTGAAAATTAAATTGTTGAATGCATAGGTGCTCAGTAAGATGCCTCTCGGTCCCTGTGCCAAACACTTGAGACAATCAACCTAAAAGCCAATTGACTATTCCTTTCAGCTTGGGTCAAGGCAGAGCATCATGCTTACCTCATGGCAGCCAGAAAGTAAGAGAGACAGGAGGGGACTGTGGTCCCTACAGTTCCTTCCTGGGTTCGTCCCCAGTGTCATAATTTCCTTCTACTAAGACCTAACACCTGAAGGTCTTACTATGTCTCAAAGGACCACAGTCTGGCCCACTAACTGTAGCACAAATAATAAAAACCCAGAGACAGAAATTGGGATTCAAGCTGAAGATCAGAAAAAGCAAAGTGGCCAGCCTCTTGAGAGACCTTTTACCTCTGCCAGAGCTTCAGACCGAAAGGGTGAAATTCTGTCTCCACGCGTCCTCAGACTGAGACCGCACTGAACTCCTGCCTTATATTTCCCTCTAGTGCTGGTGTTAAAGGCGTGTCATCCCAAGTGCTGGGATCAAAGATCTGAGCTCTGTTTCTGTTTTAGACTGATTCACTCTCGTGCAGCCCACGGTGGCCTTGAGTCCTGGGATTAAAGGTGTGTGCCACCACTCCCTAGCCTCTATGGCTGACTAGCGTGGCTGCTGGGATTAAAGGCATGTGCCAACATTGCCTGGCCTGTTTGGCAGACAAGTGTGGCTAGCTTTGCACTCTGATCTTCAGGTAAGCTTTATTTATTAAAACACAAATAAATTATCACTATAAACCACCGCATATATGAGCCTTTGGAGAGAATCCAAAAAGCAAACTAGAGCAGGAACCTGTATTTAGGAAAGAAGACCTCTTCCAGAGGACCTGAGTTCAATTCCCAGCACTCATAAGATGGCTCACAACATCTGTAACTCCAGTCCCAGGTGATCTGGTGCCTTCTTTTGACTTCCTCTGGCACCCGGCATGCATGTGGTGTACAGATATACATGAAGGCAGAGCACCAATGCACACAAACCTTTTAGAATAGAGAAGGTAGCATCACTATTGAATGTTAGGCATGGAAGTTTGCTAGCTGTATGTAAGAGAGGCAGGAAAAGACACAGCTCTCAATGTTCCCTTCAAAGGTATGACCTTATTCTCAACCACACGGATTTCAAGAACTAGACAGGAAACTTGCAACCTGTGTTTCCTGTTGTCTTCATGGCTTGCATTGACGTCTTCACAGAACACAGTCTGCTCCAAGTACAGACACAGTTAGTTAAGAACTTCTGGTTCTTCCTCTCCGCCCCATCTCCTCCACTACGGGGAGCAGATAGCTCATTTGTCCAGCATAGTATTTGGCTCACTGTGGACCCAGAGCCAGAGGCTGAAGACTGAAACTCCAGAACCAGAAACCCAAGGCTGTGCTTCTTCTGTGATGTTGTCTGTGTTAAGTGTTTGGTCACAGCAATGCGTGTAACTGAGAATGCTCCAGTAACTAGAGGTCTCCTTCCCCATTGTTACATATGCAATAATTATGAAGCTTCCTCTGGTTTTCACTCCCCCAAAGGTCCTGTACCCCAGGCCTCTTCATTCTGCAGCTAAAAAGATCCTCCCAGCCAGCATTCTCTAAGTGTCCAGCTGATATTTAGGGCATTTTATTCCCACTGGAAACGGTCTAAGTTCATGGTCGCGACATTCAAAACTCCCATGCTCCAGCCACTTGACCTCTCTAGTTTCTCCAAGTACCCAATATTTCTTACAATATTTTGATGTGGGATTACCCTGTGTATGCTGTGAATACCATTGGTTAATAAAAAAACTGCCTTAGGCCTGTGCACGGCAGAATATGCATAGGTGGGGGAAACTAAACTGAATGCTGGGAGAAAGAGGACGAAGGGAGAAGCCATGCAGCCTCGCCGGAGACAAATGCCAAAACTTTACCCACTAAGCCATAGACTTGTGGTGATACAGATTACCAGAAATGGGTTAAATTAAGAATAAAGAATTAGCCAATAAGAGGATAGAACTAATAGGCCCAGCAGTGATTGAATCAATACAGTTCCTGTGTGGTTGTTTCAGTTCTGGATGGCCGAAATGAACATGTAGACTCCTACTACAATATATCCTAAAATTTACCAATCTTCCCTCTCTGGATGGCTCTTGTACATCTTTGGTCCCTTAGCCCACCTATCCTGAGAACCATATCTTCTCCTTTCTTGCTTCCTCTTGGCACTGGGCAATGCTGCCCTACCCTTCACACGCTTTTCTCTTGAAGTCCACCAATATGTGGATTTCTATCACTCTATTTAGCAGAAGGTATTGAACTGTTGTTAACTTGTTTTATGAGTACAGGGATTCTGCCTGCATGTTTGCAAGTGCACTATGTGTGGACCTAGGGACTAGACGAGGGCACTGGATCCCCTGGGACTGGAGTTACAATAGTTGTGGCCCACCATGTAGGTGCTGGGAACAGAATTCATGTAGTGCTCTTAACCACAAGTCATTTCTCCAGCCCAGGGTATTTTTTTCACTTATTTAGTTTTATTTCCTTTTTGTGTATGTACACACACGTGCACACACACACACACACACGTCACAGTCCGTGTGAAGGTCAGAGAAAAACTTGCAGGCCTCAGCTATCCTCTTCTACAGTGTGGATTCCAGGGCTCAAATTGGGGTGTTCAAGCTTTGTGGCAACTACTTTTCCCCACCAAGCTGTCTTGCTGGCCCCTTTGTAAGGTATTTTTGTTATTCATCACTCTACTGTTCAACTAGTCTGAGAACTGCTGAGGCTGAAAATACATGCACATACACTATTTACTATTCAGTAGACTTGGTTGAGCATACATACCTTTAATCCCACATGTCTTGGGAGGCAGAGTCAGGCGACTCAACGTTAGTTCGAGGCCAGCCAGGGATATACAGTTAAAAGTGAAAGAGGTGGGGGTGTGTGCAGGAATCAGAAAAACAGGGGACTTCGGCAGAAACAGACTCCACTGAATTAGATATATTGTGTTTAGGGAGCCGGAAGGACACCCTATACCTTCTCATCAGAGTACATCAATGCTAGTGACCCTCCTTACGAGATGCTTGAGTTGCTCAGAATGAAAAATTCCAGTCTCAGGAGAATGATAGGAGAGACATAAGAAATGGAACTGGCCCAGGGCAGTGGCAGAAGGCAGGCAAATGCTGTGCACCGGGACAGAGAACCAATATGTGATGGAGAGGTGGGAAAGAGAAAAGCAGACTGTTGTCTGATCTAGGGAGAGGGGAGAAGCAGGGGACGTGATGTGGGGACAGGTGAGAAAGGGGGCAGAGGTCGACATGCTGTCATTGCCCTAGCGGGATGGTGTACAACAGCCTGGAGCCTATGCAGACACAAACTCAACCTCCCATCCCCCAACCTGCAGCCTGGCTGTGGGATTCCCCTGACTCTGGGCAACAACAGAGGTCTGAAACCCAAAAGGCTCACTTTCTGGACTGGCTCCCTCTCGGAGGACCACCGTGGCCCCTGACGCCCCCAGAGGCCATAGATGGTCTGTGTGCTGCCCCAGACCACGGTGAAGCTTGAGACCCGTGTGTGTACGCAGTCTGTGCTGCTACCCAATGCCTTGGTGATGTCCTCGGGCTTTGCTGCCTCCGGAGCCATGGTGCTGTGAGTGGCATGTGTAACCACCTGCGACCATGTTGAGGCTCGTGCGGCTGCTGAGAGCCATGAGTGGGCCAGTGGGCCTGATACGGCCAGGACTGCGTGGATGTCTATGGCCGTGTTACCACCGAAGCCCATGCGCATGACAGATAGCAGAGGTCTGGGCTGCCGCGTGAAGCCATGTTAATGTCTGTGAGTCCGGGAGAACCATCCCGCCTCTCACTGGCCCATAGCACCATGGTGTAGGTGCTGGCATAGGCTCCAGTGAACCACCTCTCAGCTCTCCTCAGCTGATGACTTCTGGCACAGATGTAGGCAGAGAAAGACACTTCCTACCTTGTCACTAGAAGGCTGGTCACTAGAAAGTTGACCACGCTCTGGTGAAGACATGGACAACACAAAATGGACAATTTGGGGGGAGATAGGTCACAGGGGAAGTGTCATACATGGGAAGACCGGGAGGTGAGGGTGATCACAATGCATGATGTGGGATTCCCAAATAATCAATAAAAAATAACTTTTAAAAGAGAGATGTAATTTTTTCCCTTTTTTGAGAGTTACCTTGCTCGCAAAAGCTGAAATGATTCCTTCAACTCTGAACAAACTATTTTGGCTAAACCCTTGTAATCATTTAGTTTGAGCTCTCGGCAGCTTGAACAGAGCAATAGATAGCCAGGGCTGATCATGAACTAAGAATCCTGTGAAGAAACGTCAGCATCACTGGCAGGACCATTGGAGAGAGGGCCCAATAAAACACTAATGACAGCCAGCAATCCTCACAACGGTGTGGATCAACAATCTTAACACTGTGTATTTATCTCCCGCCTTTCATCCACGGATCTGAAGGCTCTTTCAATCATTAATGATGGGCAACATTCTTGTGAGGTGAATATTCACAGTGCCCAGAAAGCAGGCCAATCAACTGTCAATAATCACACAATAGAAACAAGTTCAAGACCAAAAGGCACAAAGGGCGTTAGTGACCATCCCCAGGCTCCTGTCACTTCTTCAAGTCATTGTGATAGATGATCTCATATCGAGACTGAAGCTTGGCAAAGGGAACAGCGGCCTGTTCTGTGGGACCCAAGAGTCATGTTGGGTGCAACTGCCGACGAGAAAGTTCCCCATAGAAATAATTCCGCCAAGGAAATCAGGTCGTTTGCACAGCCCAGTCCATAGTCAGTGAATTTCTACACATTTGTCTTGAAAGAAAGACTGGATTTTGGTCTCTTTTTCTTGGCGTGTTCTTGGGATGAGCAAGCAGATTTTATGAAGTCCTGGGAATCTTTTAATGAAGAGTTTCATGAAGGCCATCAAGAGATCTGCTTAAATGGTCATCTAGGACCAGGACAGTGTCGGGAAACTACGCAAAGGTGCCAGAGTGACTACTTTCTTCTGGTGGTACTCTAGCTAAAACCCCAAAGCAAACAACAACAGAATCAAAGTGCAAACCAAGAACCATCCTGAGAACAGAAGAAAGGAGAAGAATGGGCTATGGTAAAAGGAAAGTGTTCTCTAAGCATTTCAAATTTCTGCGTGCATGTGTGTATGCAAAGCTGACTGAGAGGAACCCTGTTTCTTTTCTCCAACTGTCTTGGTCTTGTCTTCTTCTTCTTCTTCTTCTTCTTCTTCTTCTTCTTCTTCTTCTTCCTTTTCTTTGGTTTTTTTTTTGAGACAGGGTTTCTCTGTGTAACAGTTCTGGCTGTTCTGGAACTTGTAGACCAAGCTGGCCTTGAACTCACAAAGATCCGACTGCCTCTGCCTCCCGAGTGCTGGGATTAAAGGTGTGGGCCACCATCACCTTGTCCAATCTCATTACTTTTGAGAAAAAGCCCTTCATTTATATCAGAGATTTTAGAGAAAACATTAATGCATTAGTGTGTTTACTGAAGAATCTCATTTTTAAAAATAGACTTTTATTTGTATGCACAAGTGTGTGTGTGTGTGTGTATTTGTACATGCATGTAGAGGCCAGAAGAGGGTATTTGCTCCCTGTAGCTGGAATTACAGGCAGTGTGAGACACCCAATATGAGTGTTTGAAATCAAATTCAAATCACAAAACACTCCTAACTGCTGAGCCATCTCTTTATCTTCAAGAATCTCTTTATGCATTGTATCAGCTTCTAATCTGAAATACCTAGAAGATATGCCACCTCATTAAGATTTGCATGTGAAGCAATTAATTTTGAATATCATCAAGTTAATAGTGGAATTCATTTGAAGTATGAACCTGGGCTTTCATGAACCCTCACCTGACATCATTACTTGTGCTCAGAATAAAGAGCGCAGTCACTCCTGCCTTCTGGCCTGGCTCCTGCCCGAAGGATCACTGAGCACCCTGTAGCAACCTGCTTGGTTCCTTCACTTAACTGGGTGAAAGGGCATTTTCATTTGCACATGTATTTCAGCTGTTATTGTTGCCTGGTGCTCATATGGCATAGAAGAGAAAACTGAAGGGAACCTCAGTTGAGATCACAAGACAGTCGCTGGAGAATTTGGATGGGAATCTGAGCCGACCCTGTGGGCCCGTAGTCCTCTGCTCACTCTGCCTGCTCTGAAAACTGGCTGACTTGTTGGTTTCCAGCCTGGGTTAGGCTCTTCGGGAAGTTTAAGAAGTGAAGAGAAGGATGAACCAATTCATAAAGGCAGGAGAAATCACTCATAACTCCCCTTCTCTATGTTACTTTAAAAATTTTCCTTGTGTTGCCTTCAGCTGATAGCTCTGCTCCTCCCAGAGA